CGTTAACTTTGGATAAATCATTCCTTCAATTTTTACAAAAGAAGCAAAATTCAATAATCTTAACGGTGATCGATATATTTGACTTTCCCGGTAGTTTGACAAAAGATTTAGATCAGTTGATAGGTCGACATCATTCGAATATTTTAATCGCGAATAAGATCGATTTATTACCAAAAGATATTGATCCAATTAGGATAAAAATGTGGTTAAAAGAACATTGTTCAATGTATGGGTTAAATAATATACAAGAGATTTTCTTATGTAGTGCAAAAAAGAATTGGAACATTAAAGAATTATGTAATGAAATATCAAGGATCAGAAATTATAATGATGATATTTATTTAATTGGTAACACCAATGTTGGTAAATCCGAATTGATCAATAGCCTTTTAAGAACTTGTGCTTATCATGGTGGGGGGAATTATAAAGTTACCTCCTCTCATATCCCTGGTACCACCGTTAACATGTTTGGTTTACCTTTGGACCTTTTTAATGATGCCCTTGGTAAGAATGTTAAAGGAATGATCTTTAATGAGAAAGATGATGGTAGATTTTTGTTTGATACTCCTGGGATTGTTGGTGAAAATCAAATATTATCTTACTTAAATCAAGAAGAATTAAAAATGGTCATTCCCCAACGAAACATTCTTCCATTGACATTTGAATTCAAGCCAGGTAAAGGAAAACGATTTTGTTTATTTATTTGTTTGTTTGTTTGTCTTGGTTTTCAAGTTCTGACTAACTAAAAAAATCTTTACTTAGGAAAATCTTTATTATTTGGAGGATTAGGCAGAATTGATTATAAGGAGGGTAACAAACCAATTCGTATAACAGTATTTTCAAAATTAATTTCACATATCACATCAATAGAGAAAGCAAACGATTTTTACGAACAATTATCATCATGCGATGAAAATCATTTCTTAGAACCTCCGATAGGATCAATAGATCGTCTTAAACAGTTCCCTAGAATAATCAAATGCAAAAGGGACTTGAAGGTGATAGGGGAATGTCATCCGAAAAAAAGCAAATGCATATTAGACGTTGTTTGGGGTGGTATTGGGTGGTGTAGTATTGGCGGAGTTAGAGATGGAGAATCTGTTATATTTGATGTTTGGAGTCCTAATGGGAAAGGCGTGTATACTAGACATGTTCCTTTATTACCTTATGAATTTCGTGGTAAACTTGAAAAAATAAACTAAAATATAACGGGAATAGTTGATTTTTATTTTGATATTTCTATACTAAATAGGATCATCATTTTGTGCATTTGCAAATATAAAAACGTATACCGTAGGTGCGAAAAAAGATATGAACTTTCGAATATATTTATTTATTTATTTATTTTTGAATTAATTAATTATTTATTTATTATAGTATTTAAAAGAAATGACGGTATTTACGGTTTTATTGCCCATCCATACATACAAAATACATACAATTATTTAAATGCTTTTCTATATAATATCTACAAACATATGTATACGGATAGTTGAACCCGTAACTTTCATCTATTAGTATTAATATTATTATTAACAAAATTTCGAATAAATTAAATTAATATTTAAAAATTTGATAATAAAGTAGTAGCTAAAGAAGGAAAAAAAAAAAAAAATAAATAAATTAGCAAAGGTATTTCCATCTTTAAAATAATACAATCTTTGAATAAATAAGGTTGTCTCTTTATAATAATTTTTTACCAACCTTCAGAATATGTAAAGGGTTTAAGAGTTTCTTGTGAGATTTTAGGTATAATTAGCTGCGCTTCAGCAAAGATATCCTTTGTAAAAATGTCTTTAGCTTTTAAAACATCAAATAAATCACTTTTGACGTCCAGGTAAAATTTGAACTCCTTTAAAAGTTCATTCTTTTTAGCAAATTCCATTACAACTCTAAGATATTCATCCCTGTTTATATCATCGTCTGTTATGACGTCAAACTTCAAACATAAACTTTTTAAAGGCGATTGACATTCTTTCAACAAGGATGATAATTCCTCAACACTTATATTAAAATTAAGTGAAAGATGATGTAAAGAAAGTGAAAGACTCTTTCCTAATTGTTGAAAGTCTTTTGTTTCAATATTTTTAGTATCTAAGGTTTTTAATATTAAATGTTCAATTTTACTTGTTGATAAACATGCAAGTGATTCAAAAGTCTTTTGTGATATAGCCGCAGCCAAGTATACAATATTTGGACAATGTTCCAAGATCACTTCAAATAAATCGGGAACTATATTATCCACCGTTAATTCCCTTACATTTGTATTTGCTAAGCGAAGTACTTCCAGCGTTACCGAGGAGAGATCTCCTCTGTGAAACATTAACTTTTCAACCTTTAATTGAGAAGGAAGGTCTTCTAAAACCTTAACGGTTTCGTTAAAGATATCTTTCTCATAACAATAAACGAACTGCATGGATTCCAAATTGTGGAATTTCTTTAATGCGCCTAAACATTGTTCATTAAGTGGTATATTATTGAATTCAACATTCTTTAGAGTGTTTGCATTGCTTGATAGAGCCTCAATAAATGACTTTGAATTATTAATCTCTGACATCTCTTGGTTATAATGGAAAGATAATAGATTTTTTTGAGATGCGATTAATTGCTGTAAGCCTTCTACTGAAAGTCCGTAATCATCTTCTGTCATATCAATATAAATCTTCTCAATACCGTTCGAGATATGAGATAATTTTATTAAAAAGTCGTAAAGGTTATCTAATCCCGGTTCAGATAAACAATCAATATCGCCACGAAATTCGAATCTACGAAGGTTGGCGAGAGTATATTTGATGCGAGGGAATGTGGATATAGGAGGAAGATTATAACCCTTCTTATATTGACCCAATCTTAATCTCCATAAACTCTGACGCTGACTCATAAGTAATTTTAGTAACTCGGTATATATTATATCATCTGGATCTTCGAGACATTGATCAAACTCAAATCTTCCAATCCATTCTTCAACAGCCTCGTCCAATTTTTCACAATCCAATTCCTTCAAATATTCATGATAAGGAAATAAGGGTCTTGGATATGAAGGCAGATAGTATCCCACTTTGCGTATTCTCATCCTTGCACTATTAGTCAGACAATCTAAATATGTACGAATCAATTCAAAATATTTTTTTGACTTTGATTCGGAATACTCAAAAGGACGACGCCAAAGTAATGGAATAATAATCCTACACCAAGTACGATTCACTAACATGCAACAGTAAAGTGATGTCATATCATTTACGAAGTATTGGAAGATTTCACGAAGACAATCGGAGGGTAAAGCTGAGAACCCAGTTGGAGTTGTCAAAAAACTCATGATTTACTCCGGTATTTATTTAACAAGGTTGTAAGTTTATATGTTCAATCCAGAAAAACCAAAAAAATTTCAAGAAACCAAGTCCAGATTGGTTTGTTAACAAAGTTCCGTGGAACCTTTATACAAAAAAGAATATATATATATAAATTGTTAAAAAGATTAAAAAAAAAAAAAGATATTTTTTAAATATCTTTACGAATATATTACTTACCTATAGGAGTTCGCAATGATGGATATTTTTTTGTCTCCTTCCTAACGAGGTGAAAAGAAAAATGTAAGTACAACTGGGACAATTTTGTAAAAAGAGAGGCTGAGCCAATGGGACCTTGCTTACAAATTCACTATACTGTGCTGAAGACAACAAAATCTTTTTTCCACAAGAACTTGTCTGAAATACTTGGAGATTCTGAGTAAAGAAATTTTTTTTATATTTTTGTATTTATATTATATTATTAATAGAAGGAGAGTGAAAATTTTGACGTCTGCAAAAACGCACGGTCTATAGCACGGTATTAATTTATCAAAAAGTCCAACAGATGATGAATATATTTATAATAGGGTCTGAAATAACCAAATCCCGTGATAAAATGATAACAATATATTTGATGTATAATATTGTGTCATAATCTACACGCATAACAATATTTTTTCTTACCTCCATTCAAAGTTTTATTTGTACAACTGTTAAAGTTCTGTGCAGACTTCACTCGGTTATATCTCAATTTACACTTAACAAACTCCCTGAAAAGATACTATGATGCAAGAAAAAAAAACGGGGAACTGCGGAAGTTAAACGTGGTTCGTTTATTTTTGGATAATCCAATCAGAACAAATTCTCTATTTAAAGTTTCAATGTGTTCCGATATTTGTTGAACTGATTTTCAACTCAATTTTTGATTGATGATAAGAAAAAAAAAAACAATTGAATTTATTTCAATACAAAAAAAATTTTTCTCATTCAAATTAAAAATAACAATAGAAAAGATGTCAATAAAATGGCGTGATACAGTATTTCATTCGTCGTTTATAAATTTTATAGTGATCGGAAGTTCACTTTTTGGTGGCTGTTGCAGTAATGTTGTTGCTTTGGAGTTATTAGTTGGGTAAGTTTATTTATTTAAACTTTATTTTTATTCATCAATTTTTAATTTTATTTATTTATTTATTTATATGTTCGCCTGTATGTAGTGTGGCTCCAAAGAGTGGCAAGTACAATTTAAAAACAGTATTATTAATTCTTGATTAAAATTTTGACTCAACTTTATTATTATTGTTATTATTAGGAAATTTATTCACATTTGCACAATTTTTATTCATATCATGTGAAGGATTATTTCATCATCTTGAATTTTCTTCATCATCACCGATACCACGTTTAAAAAAACGTACAGTACCAGCACACAGATGGTTTGTTATGGTATTTCTTTTTTTTACGGTATCAGTGTTAAATAACATTGCGTTAGGATATAGGATTTCTGTCCCCTTGCACATTATATTTCGTAGTGGAGGGTTAATTGTTAGTATGATATTAGGTTGGGCTGTAGCTAAAAAAAGGTAATTAATATAAAAGTTCGGAGGAATATGAATTGTTTTTAACATTTTTTTTTTTTTAAAAAAAAATTTATATATAAATATATATTTTTATATATTTAGGTATTCATTGAAGCAAGTAATATCAGTAGTAATGGTCACATTAGGAGTTGCCTGTGCAACGATAAGTTCAGCCAACGTAAACCAAAAGGTACATAAAGGCACAACAAACTTAGCGAACATCTTTTACACTTCACTAAGTTGATTAATCTGAAAAAAACAAAACAAACATTTCGTCCCTGAAAAATAATTATTCTTCATTAGGAGGATATAAATAACTCCAAGAGTACTTCGGATTATGTGATCGGAATCAGCCTTCTCTCCATTGCTTTAGTATTATCCTGTTTTATGGGCCTTTATCAAGAATTCACTTATGTAAAATATGGAAGTAATTGGCGAGAAGGTTTATTTTATACAGTAAGTTATCTCCATTAACGTAAAGGAAGTCCAATTAGAAATTTATAAGAAAAGTTAACATTTATTTATTTTAAAGCATTTTTTAGCGCTTCCACTTTTCTTGATATTTTATTCAGATATGAAAGAACAGATTCAAGGATTCAATCAATCCATGCCGGTATCCCTAGAAAAAGCATTTTCCATGCTACCTGTTGATATTTATATACCAAATAGTATTAATCAAGTACTAAAAAGTTGTGTTATTCCAAGGACTTGGACATATCTCATTATGAACGTGCTAACTCAGTAAGTGACGCTAAGTCCATAAGTTTTTCACTATATTGGGTTTATTAAATAGATCGCTAACTTTAAAAATTCATCTTATGAAGATATGTTTGTATTTCAGGTGTACATAGATTAAATTCAATAGCAACAGCATTAACTTTAAATTTGGTATTAAATTTACGTAAATTCACTTCATTAGTAATCTCAGTTTGGTACTTTGATAATGAATTCCATATTGGAATGGCTATTGGTGGTATTTTGGTATTTTCTGGTACCCTGTTATATTATTTGAGTAGCAGCAGCAGTTCATCAAGCATTGTGAAAGAAATGCATATTGAAAATCCAAAAATTATTAATAATGATGGTGTGAAAGTAAATAGTAAAGATTTATAAAAAAGGTAAAGTATAAAAGATAAGAGAATGATATGTATATATTTTTATTAATAAAAAATTTAATAATTATCTAACAAATACCAATCAAAATATATTAGCTAAATTTGTTAAAAGTGCTAATATTAATAAAGGTGTATTATATTATATAGTAATATAAAAAATTTTTTGTTAATAAAAAAAAAAATTATTAAAGTTTATATTAATAAATCAAATTTGTTTAATGATTGATATCATTAATAAATTTAATAATTTATTTTATTTTTTCTTATTAATAATTTCTTAGTAAAAATTTTTTATTAACTATTATTTGATTTGTTTTATTAAAACTATTTGTTTTTAAATTTTATTAAGATTAAATTAATATTGTAAAATAATTAATATTTTTTTTTGTTTATAACTTAAGTATAATTCAAATATTTTAACTAATATAATTTAACTATCTTTAGTGATCTAAGTAAATTTATTTATTTTTGATTTTTATTTAAATAAATTTTTAAGCTTTTTTTTAAAAATACTATTTTTTTTTTTTTAATTTAAATAATTTATTAATTAAATTTATAAAAATTATATATTTTAATAATATAAAAGTTTTATTTTAATAAAATATTTTTGAAATTAAATATTTTGATATTTTTTAAATTAATATATTTATAATATAATTTATAATATAATTTAAAAATAAAAAATTAATTTAATTAGTAAAATTTAATTGATAATATTTAATTATTTAAAAATTAATAAAAATTATAAGTAAATTTACTTACAATTTTCTATTATTAAATTAATCAGAATATTTAAAATAATTATATATTATTTTTATTTATTAATTTTAAATTAATCTAAAAAAATTTGTATTATTATAACTATTATGATTTATATTAATTATATTATTTTATTTAATATAAGTGATAGTATATCACTTATATTAAGTTATAGTATTCTATAATATAATTATCACTTTAAAATTTAATTACTATTTTATAATTTATAGAGTTTAGATCCGTTCATTCAGATATCTGATTTGACATTAAGATTGCTTATCTAAACCTATTTAAAATATGTGAAATAGCAAAACTTTAATTAATACTATTTAAACTATTATAAAATATTAAACTTTTACAAAATGGTTAAATTCTTGTGAAATGATTAAATTCTTACAAAATGGTTAAATTCTTGTAAAATAATTAATCTCTTACAAAATGATTAAATTTTACGAAATGATTAAACACTTATGAAATGATTAAATTCTTATAAAATAATTAACTCTTATTAAATAATTAAACTTTTACAAAATATTTAAACTCTTGTAAAATATTAAATTTTTATGAAATGTTTTAAATTATTATAAAACATTAAAATTTTACAAAATATTTAAATTATTATTAAATTATAAAATTATTATGTAATATCATATTTTATTCATAAATATTATTATAACTTTATATTAAAATAATATATAAAATATTAAAAAAAGTTTTATATTTATTAGCAATCTTTATAAGTATATGAGTTGATTGCTAGGAAAATCATGTTCTGAAAATTTTTTAATAAAATTGAAATTTTTATTATATTTTAGTTTTTGATGTTATTAAATTAAAATGTATTAAACTCTTAATTTAAGTTAAAAATTTTTCAAACCTGATTTTCTTAAAAATCCTCCTATAGTATATTAATTTATTTTATTTTTATACTTCAATTTAATATTAAATCATATTTAAATTTGTACTATTAGTTTAATAATAAAAATGAAAGTAATTTTAATTAAAATTAATAGTATTAATTTTACTTTATTAATATTTTTTATAATAAAAATATTTAAATATAATAATAAAAATAAATTTAACTATTTAAATTTTAAAAAAAAATAAAGAAAGAAATATTAGTAATATTTCTTAAAAAAAATTTAAATTGAGTTTATAAATAGAATGAAGCGGAATTTGAATAATTTAAGGTGAGTTTTAAAAAATATAATGGTGGAGTTTGAAAAATTAAAAGCAAGTTTTAAAAAAATATAATAAAGCAGAATGCAAAATTTAAGGTAGAGTTTTTAAAATATAACAGGACAGAGTTTGAATAATTAAAAGTAAGTTTTAAAAAAATATAAAAGCAGTGTTAGTAATAATCTGTTTGCATCACTAAATAACTCACTGACTAATATTACCAATGATCACCATGAAAATCGTAATCATCATTTTCACCAATTTCACTGCTATCACAGTTATTGTTGTGATATTTATTATATTTATTATTATGTTTATCATTATTTTATTTACTATATTTATTTTTATAATTATATTTATTTTCCTTATTATATTTATTATCACTTTCTTATAATTGTATTTATATAAATATCATATATTGTCATCTTGATAAACTAATAAATTTCTATCATACAATTAATAAAGTATAATCTTAATAATATAAAAACTTTATCTTTACCAATATCTATTTTCTTAAAACATAAATCATCAATAAAAATAATCTGATCTTTCAACTTAAACAAATTTGTGTTTATTTCTTTCATAGTTTACAACTTAAACTCCCTGTTAGCAAATAAGCTTTATTATTCTAATGATGTAGTGTTTAGGTTTAATAGTAGAATGCAAAATTTAAGATAGAGTTTTTAAAATATAATGGAATAGAATTTGAATATTAAAAGAAAATTTAAAAAATATAAAATTATAATGAAGTAGAATTGTAAAATTTAAAGAAGTTTTAAAATATAATAGGGTGGAGTTAAAAAAAAATAAATGTTATATTATCTTTTATTTAAAATTAAGGTAAAGTTTAAAAAAAAAATTTAAAAAATCCTAATATAAATGTATTTACTAAAAAAAGATATTTGATCATACATGTGTAAAAAATTGATAAATAATTTAATAAATAAAGATAAAATACTAGTATTTATATAATTAATAATTTATGTATATAAATTATATTTATCAAATAAAATTTTTTAACAATCAACAAATAAAAAAAATTTATTTTATAAAAATTTTTATTTATATAGTCTTATTTATTATACATAATTTTATCTTACATAATATAGTTTTATTCTGATTTATTTATAATATAATATTTATTTATAAAAATTAAAAACAGAAATTTTAAAAATATAATTAATTTACATGTATAAAAAATGATTAATATAATTGATAAAATTAATCTCTATTAAATTAAGATAAAAAATTCTAATATTTATTTGATTCATAATTTATGCGGTATATTTGATTTATAAATAAAACCAACCAATTAAAAAATTTTTAATCATAAATATGATTATATTATGATCTAATTTCTTAATCAAAAATTACAATCTCAATTTTTAATGATTAATTTTATATTTATATCACTTTTATTAATATATTGTATAAGTTAAATAAAGTTCTGTTTTAAATATGTAACAAATAATAAATATTATAAAATAATAAAATATTTTAAAAAAGTCTTTTTTAAACTTTTCTTAATTTTTTTTCTATAAAATTTATTATTTAAAATCAATTTTTTGATTATTATTTATTTTTTTTAAATTTCTTTAATTATTATTTTTAAGATAATCAATATTATAACATATTACATATTACCAAATTTTATTTAAAATTCAAGAAGTCAAATTTAGATATTTAAGTTAATTGAAAAAGAAAAATTAATCTTTATTGATTATTAATATGAACATGTCTAATGAAATAATTTTTAATATTAGTAATAAAAATTTTAAAGAAACAAAAGGTAGTTATTCTTTAAGGTAGTATTAGTATTTAATTATTTAACTGTATTTGGCTATGGCTGTTTGGCTGTTTGGTCACAGTCAAAATAGCTAAATTTTATTTTAAGTTTGACTGGCTAAAAAATTTTTTTTATACAATAACTTACAAAAGAAATAGAAATATAATTGGTTAATTGTAAAAAAAAATTTGACACCTCTGATGTTTGGAATATTAAAAATTGCAAAAATTACAAAGGTTGTGACTTCTAATATTCAGAATATTATATTTTACAAGAATTTTAATATCTTGAATATCAAAAGTGTCAATTCTTACAATTTTGCAATAAATTCAATAAATTGCAATTTGCAAATAAATTTCAGCCAAAATTGACAAAGTCATGTGATATTTGATTGATTGGTGATTTAGTCGCTAATTTTAGCCGATTAGCTAAATTGGCTAATAGCTAAAAAATTATACTTGATTGTAACTAAATACCAACTATACTTTAGGAGTTATATAGTTTTATTTTAATAAAAGCAATATAGAGACTTTTGGAAAATTTAGAGCTAAATGTAAATATTATTCATTAAAATAGAAATATGTTAAGATATATACTTTAAAAGAATATCTAGTAAGTCTGTTCAAATATTTTAGTTCCTATTTTATGTAAATATATGTAAAAAGTTTCATCACATGAATTTATTTAAAAAAAGAAAATTAAAAAATAGACAAATAACTATAACATCATTTCATGATATAACTAAACTTTTTGATATAAAAATTAACAAAATAAATCATACTTTAGGAAAGTTTTTTTTGCTTGTAGTATTTTATTTCAGATTGTTGAGCATCCATTTTTTATAGATTTGGTTAAAAAACTTAATGCTAAATATAATTTTCTAATATATGAATTTTTATCTAATTGTATTTTAAAATATGAATTATGTAATGTAAATTAAAATATAGAAAATGATATTTTATATAATTTTAATTTAATACTTAATAAGTCAATAATTAATTATAATTTTTAATAAAATTTATTTAAATCATAATATTTATATTAATTTATATATATTTATTATTTTAAATTTTAAATGATACAATAACTAAATAGAAAAATTAAGAGTCCTTTAATAATTATAATAATTAATATTCAAGGTAAACAATTATAACCTTAGAAAGATTTACAAATATACTCCTTCAAATCAGAAATGTGAAAATA